TTTTGTCCCCCCCCCGCCCCCCCCCCCCCAGCAGCAATCCCCCCCGTACGTATATCCTTCAGCCCTAACCGATCCCCTCCTCCGTTAGTTGTCCCCACTTGCATTTGCAAAGCCACGACCTCAGCAGCAGCCCTGGAATAGCATATCTCCTTAACTATATATTCATTGAATTAACGAACAAGCTGCTGCATCTGTTTCTCCCTAGCAGCTGCTCGCAGGGAGCATTTGCCTGCTCTGGTTTTTGTTTTTTAGTTAAGGCTGGATTGCTCGCTCCTAGCTGCCCCCAGCAGCGTCTGCTGGCTGAAGAGGTTCGTGTCCGGCACGGCCCACCATCACCGGCAGCGCTCAGGCTTTCACGGCCACAGTGCTCCTCTCGGAAGGAGAAGGCCTGCCAGAAAGAACCATGAGGTCCGTTGGAGCTGGTGGGATAACAGCATCCTTGCCCAAAGGCTCACCGGCGCAGGCGTCGGGGTGGCGACGCAGCACCCAGTTAGGGTGGGCAAGCCCAGCCCTTCCCGAGGAGATGGTGTGGACCTCGCAATCACCATTTCTCCACCCGCCAGCGCAAATCCTTAGAGAGACACGTACAAGGCAAGTTACTGCCCATGTCCTCCACCTCCAGCAGCACTTTAGATGTGCTCAACATCTCACCACCTTCTGAAGGCAACAGCTACCAGATGCTGATGAAGCCAGGCTTGAGCCCCATCCGCACAGGGAGCGCAGACAGTACCTGTGACAACCCTGTGTCATGCAAGACTTGCTTGCGAGGAACCCAAAAAAAGCGTTTTATCACCTGCTTACAGAGCAGCAGAAGGTGGGGGCACCTCTGCCATCAGCCCAGAGCACTCATCACCTAGCCGGGGACGCTGCCACACTCATCTGCAGAGACAACCTGCCTCGGTTTCGGAGCCCACGAGGACTAGTCATAGGTCCCCAACCTTAACTAGTGGCTTTTTTTAATAGAAGAAGGAATTTACGGTTTGTTCCTTTTCCTAGCTACGCTGTGTGCCCTCAGCACATCTCCATGCCACCTCTGCTTCTCCAGCCACCACCCAAACCCCAGCCCCTGCTACCAGCACTGCCTATGGCAACGGTGCCTAACCCAGCATTTGCCATCAGCGGGCTTCTTGGGTGTCAACTAAGAGTGTGGTCAAGGGATTTTTTTTTCTTCCTCTTGGGGAGAAGAGGGACTGTAACTGCTTTAATAATACAGAAAAAACAACATTCCTCAGATTCACCTCAAAGACATTGTTTGACATCACATTTTTATCCCATTTACAGTTCATTTAACCCTGCCTGTCCTTTTAAAGCCAGAGGGGAAGTCACTTCTCAAGCAGTAACACTCAAGCAAGAAGAGCACCTTGAAAACATCTAAGTGGCATCACCTGAACCTTTTCTGTCCTGCTTCTGGGCAGCCAAAAAACACTCTACCAAGCTGCTGGCAGTCACCACAGGGCTGGAGCTGTTTGGGCAGCAGGGACCAGGTGCCCCCAGCCATGCCCTGCGGCCCCAGGCAGCAGCAGCCTCCGAGCAAAACCCAGTGCAGCAGCAGCGGAGGTGGTGAGACGAGCTCTGCTGGCAGCAGGCACCCAAATTCCCCTGCACACCCAGGGCTGCTGCTTCTTCCCCGTTAGAAAAAATGCTCTGCATGGCCCCGTTGCCTGAGCTGAGCGTCCCCCTACGAGACCACAAAGCCGCGAGGTGACAACTCCCGCAGGCTGCTATGAGCCCCACTGGCCCTCAGGGCTTACCTGGGAGCAGGTCTCCATCCAGGGAGGGTAGTGAAGCCACCAGGTGACGGCACACGTTTGGAGGGCGCTCCAAAGCAGCAAGGAGCCTTGCTGGCCGCTTCAACGGAGAAACCAAAAGCATCATCCACAAGCAAGAGGAGAGTCCTTCTCACCATCTACAGGAACTTAAAGTCAAGCAAAGATGTCAGCACCATGGGAACACCTCACTCAATAGGCCCATGGCAACAAGCACTCACAATCCCACAGCAAACCAGCCCCTTCCCCAGGCCATACCCCCTCACGGAGACGCTCCCCAGGATGTCCAACCCCAGTCGTGCAAGGAGGGGGGAAGACAGCAAGAAGCAAAGCCATGCTCCTTCTGCACTTTAACTTCTGACGACAACACAGTCCCCCCAGCTTCCATCATTTTAACAGCAGCCCCCAGGGGGAAACCACCACTTGGTGCCCAGCCCAGCCCACATCCCCCCCCACCTCAACATCTCCAAAAAGCACCTTTCCCTAGAAGCACCCCCAAAAGCAGGGAGGTGCTCTAGCACAACCAAGAAAAGAAGCCTTACCTGCTCTATCACCAAAAGCCCTACTCCCCCCCCAGCACCGCCCCGAGGCTATTTATGGGCTCCGGAGGAGCTAATGCAGCCCACCTGGCCCCACACACGATTCCCCACCATGGGACTCCTCCAAATTGCCACGGAGGGTGGAGAAAGCCAGCCTCAACCCAAAGCGCCCGCTCTGCCGTGCATGTAGCTACGGCCGACCGTGTCTCCTGTTACCGTAGTTTGGAAGGGGCAGGATGGCGGGGCGAGGTTTGGAGTGGGAGAGCGGAGACGTGGGCTGGGACCTGAAGAAACTGAGTTTTGGCAGCTGCTCCCGCTCCTGGCGCAGCTTGCTGGGATGACACAAGCCGCTCTGGTTTCACTTTTAACGGGGCCTCCCCTCCAGCGCGGCGGCACGGTTAACTCACCGCTCGCCCATAAAACAGCACTGCGAAGGAGTAAGGAGGCAAGCGGCGTGGTGCTGTCCTGGGTGGAGGCAACTCCTGCTCTTGCCGGAGAGGTTCAGCGATGCAGGAGGGGCTCTGCCATGTCGGATTTAAGTATTCGCGCAAAAATTTAAGTCTCCCCACAGCAGGAGACAAGCGAAGCGTGGGTAACCGATAGCTGGTGTCACGCTGCAGCCGAGGTGAGGTCCAAGCCGCTGCTCAGAGCCAGTCCCATTGTCCTGGTTTCGGCAGGGATAGAGTTAATTTCCTTCCTAGTAGCTGGTACAGTGCTGTGCTTTGGATTTAGGATGAGAATAATGTTGATAACACACCGATGTTTTAGTTGTTGCTGGGTAGTGTTGACACTAGTCAAGGACTTTTCGGCTTCCCACGCTCTACCGACTGAGCAGGCTGGGGGGGCACAAGAAGCTGGGAGGGGGCACAGCCAGGACCGCTGACCCCAACTGGCCAAAGGGACATTCCATAACATGAGACCTCACGCATATTATATAATCTGTGGGTACTCCG